AGCCAAAGATGGGTGCTAAGAGCTGAGAGGAGGTGAAGCGGAAGGGGAGGGGGCGTGGAGGGGAAGAGGGTGTAGCAGCATCGACAAAGGCTTCACGGGAGCTGTCCATGACAGCGCTGCTTTGTACGTCTATGTCCTGTGTCGCTCACTCTCCCTCCCTTCATGTCATTCATATAATGATGATGACGATGATGCGTGCGTTGTAGTCGTTGCCATTTCCGGCCACCATCAAACGTCTTCACGCCAGCAACTCGGCCAACACCGACGCCATGAAAGCCGCCCTCGAGGACGTGCGTGCTGTGTTATGTGTGTATTGTGTGTGTGTGTGTGTCGTGTGTGTCGTGTGTGTCGTGTGTGTGTGTGTGTGTGTTGTGTACTGTGTTGTGTTTTTGTGTGTGTATTGTTGTGTGTTTTGTGTATTGTGTGTGTGTGTGTTGTGTGCTTGTTGTTCCTGATTTGGAGTACCTGCATCCCTCAACTTCTCACGGATTACACAACACGTACTGCACATGCACACCCACACACACACACACACACACACACACACATCAATCAGGAGGCGCGCGTGCTGTCGGGATTGAGACACAAGCACGTGCTCTCTGTCGGCGGCATCTCCGCCATTGGGGACGAGCAGTGTCTCCTCTCCGAACCCATCATCGGGTACGCATTGCATTGCACGTCATCATGACAACATACAGGTGCACCTGCACAAAAGTCCTCACACACACACACACACACACACACACACACACACACACACACACACACCCATCCACACCCATCCACACACACACACACACACACTCACACACACACTCACACACACGCAGGAACTTGAAGGAACGACTGCTGCACAAACCGCAGCACACGACGTGGCTCATCACCGCCGCATTCGAGCTTGCATCTGGCCTCTCCTACCTGCACAGGTAAACAGCACTTACAACCATCACACGTCCATGTTTCTTCCCGCGCTCGTGCACGCACTCTGTGCCTGAACACTGTCATTGAACCACAATCACTTCCGCCACAAACAACCTCAACCCCCCACCCACCAACATCACCACCACCATCATCACCACCACCACCACCATCACCTCATGAACGCCCTTACCCCCTTCCCCGCCCTCTCCCCCTCTCGGCCTGACAGGAGCGGCATCCAGCACTGGGACGTGAGCACGCGGAACGTCTTCCTTGCCGCCAACCACATGTGTCGCATCGGTAACATGTGCCTGCGTGACCACACTGTGCACCACGCCGATGCTGGGTACTACACCCCAGCATGGAACCCCAGCGCCAAGGAGTTGCGGTGGTGGGCGCCAGAGGAACGCGACACGACCACCACGGCCACTGTAGTCCACCAATATCATCGTGACTGCGATGGCGGCGATTGCAGCCTGGCTGTTGATCTCTGGTGCTTTGGGTTCTGCCTGTACGAACTCTTCTCCGCAGGTAACGATGAAAATATGATGTCTTTGTTGTGGTTGTTGTTGTTGTTGTTGTTGTTGTTGTTGTGGCCTGGGTGCATTGTGGGGTGTTTTCTTGTTTCTTTCTTGTGAAGCAAACGAGCAATGAAGTTCAGCCTACCGTCGCAGACGCCAGAGCACACTGTCATACGCGTCACTCGCGCGTCACTCACGCGTCACTCACGCCATTGTTCACGTCACTTCATCACCATGACCGCCACCAACAGGTGCTGTCCCCTTTGTCGAGTCCACGTGGACCGATGCAGACGTGTACACGCAGACGATGCGTGAAATCCAACAGGGCGCCGTCCTGCCCCAGGTGACGCCACCGGCTGCTCGGTGTATGTGTGTGTGTGAGAGCGTGTGAGAGAGAGTGTGTGTGTGCGTGTGAGTGTTTGTGAGTGTGTGAGTGTGTGAGTGTGCGAGTGTGTGTGCATGTAGGTGTGCTTGTCTGTCCATCTCTGTGTCAGCTGCGTTGTTCTGATTGTCGGGTTGTTTTGACGTCTGGCTTGCTGTACGCACTTTGAATGACTCCGCTCACTGTACAATCGGGTTGTCTCTCCCCTTCTTGTTTCTCCTCTGTCCACGCAGCCGAGCATGTGCCCCAACACCATCTACCAGCTGATGCTTGCATGCTGGAGCCTTGATCCAGCCCACCGACCAAAGGCAAACGTATGCGGCCGTGGGTGTGAATGTCGCGTTCATGCGTCTCGTGAGTGTGCCGACGCATATGTGTGCATGTGTGTGTGTGTGTGGATGCGTGTGGTTGCTTGCGTGCGTGTGTTTGAGCTACCATCCTCACACACACACACACACACACACACACACACACACAAACAAACACACACAAACAAACACACACACAGGAGCTGGTGCGTCTGATGGAGGACGTGGATGATCCGGCGGAGAAGATCCAATCGCTGCAGGAAGAAAACTCCGCTCTCCGCGAACAGGTGTGACCATTTCCAAATGTGTGTGTGTGTGGGGGGGGGGCGGAAGGAGAAGGAGGGGCAGTGTGCGTGTGTGTGCATGCAGTGGATGAGTTGTGTGTGTGTGTGAGTGTGTGTGTGAAGTACTTGGTGTGAAGGTGTCTGTGCACTGCGTGCATTCGCAACGAAACACCTTCACACATTCCGTCATCCCATTCACGTCACGCCAACAGCTGCAGTCGCTGCGCCTGACACAGCCGCTGATGTTCACGGAAAGCACGACAGAGGAGACCGACATCACTCGTGACGATGCAGACGCGGATGATGCAAGTGCAACAGATGACGAGAATGAAGACAGTTTCCAGACCAAGCCGCCGCGCTGCCTCGCCACTTCAACAACGGGCAGCAGTGCAGCATTGGTTGGCCGTTCAAAGCCGACACTGGCGTCCTTCCGTCGACGCTCCAGCATCCTCTCCCTGCCTGAGAATACCATCACCAGCAACGTGCGTTTGCTGCTGTCTCGTGTACCTGGGTGTCATACCATGCTTTGGGGATTACACTCATGTATTGCACTATTAGCACACACACACACACCCACACACTCTCTTGTGTGTGTGTGTGCGTGGGTGCGTGTAAGTGTGTGTTTGTGTGCATGTGTACGTGTGCGTTCCAACCACATTGTGCGTGTACGTTCTGTCCTTCCTTGGTTCGCCACCTGACCATCTTGACCCCATCACCGCATGCTCATCTTGAGAACAGGGACTGCAGGCTGTGGTGCACGCGCTCGACTCCCAGGTCAAGAACATGGTGAGCGTCGCTGACACTGAATTTGTCGCATCATCCATGTTTGCATCATGCCTGATGGTGCTGCAGCAAACCTGTGTTGGTCCTGGCACTCAGCACACATGGCACACACACACACACACATACACACACATACACACACATACACCACACCACACACACTCGACATACACGACACACGACACACAATTCACTGCACCACCACCATCACCACCACGCATGACAGGTGTTTGAGTTTGAAGGGGAGAAGTTTGGGTTCGGGGACTACTCGACTACAGACATGGTGCCAATCGCTATGGACACGCCGCGCGACACGGAGACAGACGCCGTTTATCTCGCCGGTGGCGATGACAACGACGATGTGGTGGTGGACGGCGACGTGGAAGAACCAGCACAGCGGGCCGACAACACGGCCACCACGACGGCCACCACCGCCGATCACACGGCCATCACCGCCAACAGCAGCGCCAACAGCAGCGCCAACAGCAGCGCCAGTGGTGCCGGCAACATGGAAGAGGAAGCCAAGCAGGAGGAGGCCAGTGGCACCAAGGGCAGCGCTGTGAGCGATGCCAGCAAACCGACAGCACAGGGTGACGAAGACGATGGCGACATCATGGACAATGAACACACGTCACCGCTGCAGCTTCTCCTCATCCCGTCTCCACCACAGGTGCAGGTGTGTGCGCATGTGTGCGCATGTGTGTATGTGAACTGATATCACGACTGGTGGTCATCATGCATTGTCACATTGAGCAATAAAAATTCCTTCATGTTGTTGTCGTCTCTGCTTGTCCCCTCCCAAATATTAGTCGCTGATTGAGCTCATCAACCTCACATCTATAATTACGTGCCATTGCTCGTTCACTTGTGGTGATCAGACGGACGCCAGCGGGAATGCAACACTGGCAACTGAGCCCACCAACACCAGTGAAGACGACACAGCAGCAACAGCGACAACAGCGACAATAGCGACAACAATGTCTGCACCTGCACGCATCCCCTCCGCTCCAAACCAAGTTGACGCAGGCGCACGTGGTGAAGAGTCCACAGAGTCTGAAGAATCCTCAGCAGAGGAGACACTCGCGTTGCTCAACACGTGGGGCGAGACGGGCGAGACTGTGGACATGCTTGAGGACAAGCATGCCGTGCTTGCAAGCAAGCTCCACCGCTCGTGGGAGCGCCGTGAAGCACAGCGCCACCGCGAGTTTCTGGAGGCCGTGTATGTGTATGAGGACCAGATTGTTGTGAACATGATGCGTGTGGAGGCGCGTCTGCTCGCCGTTCAGCTGCAGCCGTTCCAGGCAGAGCTGGAGGTGCGACAGGGGAGGAGGAGGGAGATAGTTGTGTGTGTGTGTATGTGTGTGCGCGTGTGTTTTGGGGTTCCCGTTTGCATGTATGTGTGTGTGTGTGCACATGTGTGTATGGGCGCATGTGTCTGCGAGCGTGCCTGTTTCATGTTTGAACTGCACACTTTTCGTGTCAGTTGTGTTCCTCACCTTCGTCACCTCCATCATCACCATCATCACCATCATCACGACCACTGTCCCCCTCCCCCCCCCAATGACAGATGGCCGATGAGGCGCTACACAGCGCTGCCCGTGATCTGCACCGCCACGGCGACGACGCAGCAGCGACACAGCTGACCGAAGACGTCCTCACGTGGGAGCAGACCCGTTCAGAGGATAAGGTGAAGCATCAGCATGGCCTGTCCACGTGTTTGTTGTTTTTGTCTGTTAGCAATTGTTGTGGGTGCCCGCAAGCATGTTGGTTATCATGTAACACGGCTCTGCCTTCGTGTGTCTCACTTCTGTCTCAGTTGTGTTTTGAATTTCAAGTGCTGGCATCTGTGAGGCGCCAATGTGTGTCGCTCTCTGTCTCCATGACCATCCGCCTTGTATCACACATGCTCCTGACTGCCACCGCGCTTCTCACGTGCGTGCTCACATTCTTCCCTCGCCAGGTTGCTGTTGTGGACGTGAAGCTGGCGCGCATCTCTGCCCTGCGCCACGTGTTTGAGGAGATGAAGGCTGTCACATACGCCGATTGCATGTTTTACCCAGAGGGAACACAGGTCAGTCACATGCCCCACACCATGCACGGCGCACGTCGATTATGCGGCTGGGACACCAAGTTGTATTGTTGCTGCCATTCACACTGCCAGTTAGCTAATTGGCCAGTCCATCACCCACTTGCCTCGAGCTCACTTAGCCTTCAACGATCAACAACCCACGTCATAACAAACACATTGTGCCATGTTCCCACCACGCTCCACAGAGCCGTGCGTTGGCCGAGCAGCGTTCTCGGGCTGTTGATCAGACCATCGACAATCTCGACAAACGCGAGCGCCATCTCCTCCTCCGCCGCGCCCGCAGTGTTGAGGCCGCTGCAAAGTCAAAGATCGTAAGCTATTTGCTTTGTGCGTGTGCTTGTGTGTGCGTTGTGTGTGCGTGTGTGTGTTGTGTGTGTGCGTGTGCGTTGTGTGTGGACGCCAGTACTTGTGTGTGTGCGTCGTTGTGACGACTGTGTTGTATGATGTCTTTGACATCTCATCACGCATCACTATATGCGTCCATTCTCAACTTCCACCACTTGTGCAGGCATGCCTGAAGGCCGAGATGCAGAACACGGGCACCAACCAAGAGGTGTGTGCGCTCTGTCGTGAAGTACACACATGCACAGAGAAACAGCACAGCACAGCACAGCACAGACAGACAGACAGACAGACAGACAGACAGACAGACAGACAGACAGACAGACAGACAGACAGACAGATAGACAGACAGACAGACAGACAGACAGACAGACAGACAGATAGACAAACAGACACACGCACACACACGCACACGCACACACACACACACACACGCACACGCACACACACACACACACACACACTAACCACCACTCTTCACTCATGTCCACAGAAGCAGCACATGCTGGCTGTCCTGCACGAGGATCTGCTGCGGGCGAAACAGGAGACGTGCGAGGGGCGGCTCGAGCGCATCCACCACCAAGTCTTCGAGTGCCGCGACCGTATTCAAAGCAAGCCCGTCAACAAGTCCGAACACAAGCAGGTGCGTGGCTTGCCTGACAAATGAAATGACACTCGATTCAATGATACTTGAAACGATGATACTTGCATGCGCCTGCTGTGTGTCCAATAATGGACAGGTGCTCTCAGTCATGCCCGTACGCATGCATCGTCTTCATTATCTTCATCCCTCACATGTCAAAACACAAACACATTCATGTTCATACGTTTGTATTTTCATTGAAATCAGCTGAAACTGATGCTGGAGCAACTGCACAAGAAGGAGCAAGCGTTGACCACCAAGCTGGCGTCATACAACGAGAAGCTGGTGGATGCAGAGGAAACGAGCAACAGCACAGCGCCAAAACCACGCGATGACGCCGAGGCCAGCGCGAACAAGACAGACCAACAGCAGCAACAGCAGCAACAGCAGCAACAGTGCATGCCACTCCACAACGGTCCGCTGCTCGCACAGCACAGGACACTCGGCACCTGTCGCCCACCATCACGCCAGAAGGGCTTAGCACCGCCGCCGCCACCACCACCTCCACCTCCACCGCCACCAGCGGCTGCACCATCATCACCATCAGCAATGACGAAGCAGCAGAAGCGCAAGGAATCGAAGAAGGAGAAGAAGGCGCTGAAGGAAGCGAAGAAGGAGGAGAAACGCAGGGCAAAGGAGGAAAAGGCCGCCATGAAGAAGGAGAGGAAGCGAACAAAGTCCTCCCCAAACAAGAACAAGAAGCAGCAGGAACAGCAAAAAGACCAGGAACAACAGGAAGTGGATGTTCCACAGCAAGAACAGCAGCAGCTTGATGACAGCCCAAGCACACGCACCAGCAAGAAGAGCAAGAAGAGCACCAAGAAGAGCAAGAAGTCCAAGAAAGGTGTCACCTTTGACCTTCCTTCCTCCACTTCATCCAACATTCCACCTCCACCACCGCCCCCTCCACTGCCGCCAACACAGGCGACCGCCTCGGCAACACCATCCCCACCACCCAGCAAGTCAACAACAAAGCCCAACAAGGCTGCCAAGACCACAGCACCCTCTTCTGCACCACCACCACCACCACCGCCACCACCGCCGCCACCGCCACCATCGACAGCTGGTGCCTCGGCTGGGACAATGAAGCTCGCACCAACCAAGCGGCCAACCTCATCTCCATCGCGGCCCACGCACACCCGCAACCTGTCCTCGTCATCCCGACCACAGTCCATCGTCATGGCAGATGCAGGCAGCAACAGCAACAGCAACAGCGGCAGTGCGTTTGGCGGCGGTGATTTGATGGCGGAGTTGTCTGCTGCAACGGCCAAGCGGGCACGGGCGCGGCGTGAGAGCATGTTCCCTCGTCGCAACGAGAATCAGGTGGCAGCTGCACGCGACAACGCCGTTCGCCGCCTCAGCCGCATCACCCCGTCGCGCGTCCAGCGCGCAGCACAGCGCAGGCTCAGCCGTCTGCCCCAACACCGTCGCCAGCGAAGCGGTGCTGGTAACACAGCAACAGCAGCAGCAGCAGGGGCAGCAGCCAACCAGCACCAGCAGCATGAGCAGCAGGGCAACGGCACTACCAAGGGCAGCCTCACTGCCGTTGAGGAGGAAGCCACCACCAGTCAAGTGGAAGATGCAGCCAGGTCAACGGATGCAAGTGGTGATGGCGGTGTGTGGAGAGAGGCAATGCTGTCTGCTGTGCGCGGGTTCCAGCAGAATTCGCTGCGACGTGTGGAGCACCGGCCCTCGATGGCGCGCCAGAAGAAGAAGACTCAGCTCGCACGAGCTCCCTCCGCACTTGGTCAGTTCACGTCACGTCAAGCTGCTGTTGAGTTGTTTGGAAAGGGGGGGGGGGAGAATAGTCTATTTGGGCAAGGGGATGGAGGAGGTGGATTCGCCACAAGCATTGTGTGTTGGTATCGTTGCACTCACACTCACGGCTGTTGTCGCTTTTTTCACATTCCATGTCTGCAGGCGCTGTTGTTGACGACGCTCTGGCTCGAATTCGCGTCCACACAAACTTGGTGAGCACATCTAGATGATGATGATGATGATGATGATGTTGTTGTTGTTTAAGTTGTTTAAGTTGTTTAAGTTGTTGTTGTTGTTGTTGTTGTTGTTGATCTTGGGTGGTTGGGGGCCGCCAGCGACGCGCGTGCTGCTTCAGGTTCTCACAATCGCCGGTGCGTTTACATGTGTGCGTCGTCACAGGAGTCATCTGATGATGACAGCGACGGCTGGTCGGACGACAGCGGCGACGACGAACTGCTCTGATGGCGCGCCATGGCCGACGATGATGGTGATGGTGATGGTGATGGTGAGAGAGGATGAAGATGGTGGAGTGTTGAGGAGGACATTATGCGTGGAGGTTGATGGAAGGTCCACACGACTGGATGCGTGTGCCGTTTTCCGTTTTGAGTGACAGGTGCCCTGGGGATGGTGTTTTCGTTTGGAGCATGCGTGTGTGCGCGCGAATGTGAGACGGGTATTAAGTTGCATCATGATTGTGTTCGTGTGTCTTGCTGCCAGCACAGGCACGCGCGTGCTACTTGGCAGCACTCTGTGCACATGTAGTGTGTGTGTGTGCGTGTGTGTGCGTGTGTGTGAGCGTGTGTGAGGGTGAGGGTGAGTGTGAGAGAGAGAGCGTGTGTGAGTGAGCGTGCGTGTGTGTTCTTTCGTTACCAGAGCATGCCAAGTGGTCGTTTTAAGTTGTGGTGCCGGGTTCGTTTTGTTTGCTCACTGCGGAAGTAAATTCAACCAGTGGCTGTGCATTGAAGCCTCGCTCACGCGCCTAGAGTGAGTGAGTGAGAGTGAGTGAGTGAGTGAGTGAGTGAGTGAGCGAGCGAGTGAGGGAGGGAGGCAAACACTTCCTCCGTGTGACAAAACACGAAACAACACAACCGACCGTGTTCGCGAGGCGTTGGTCTGACGTGATGATGGTGACGCTGTCGTGCGCGTGGTTTCGCTCCGCCGCCACCGCCGCCGCAAACGACAACAGCCGCCCGTGGTCCTTACCGATGGCATGATGATGGTGGTCGTGGTGAGTCGTGTGAGGAGTGGGTTCAAACAAGGGAATGAATGGTGCCAAATGCAAGGTAACAACAACACGACCTGACTGCGGACGCAACTATCATTGCAGGTGCGTCCCACCTCATTGCTGCCATCATTACCGCCGCTGTCGTCGTCGTCGCCGCGAGCGCGTGCTGGCGCATCAGTGTCGCGCCCCTGCACTTCAACAACAGACGAGCCCTCCTCCAGCCACTGCACGTACACAGCAACCCGCAAACACAACCAGGGCACACGTACAGGGGGTGAGACAAAAGGTGCGTGCGTGCGTGCGTGCGTGCGTGTGTGTGTTTGGTGTGCGTGCGTGCGTGCGTGTGTGAGAGTGCGTGTGTGTGAGAGTGAGTGAGTGAGTGAGTGAGTGAGTGTGTGTGTGTGTGTGTGTGTGTGTGTGTGTGTGTGCTCTTATGCCATGCACGAGATCACGCCGCCTGCGTGCGACCTTGCCGAGGAGATGGTTCGCCGTGCGTGCGCCCTTGTTGATGCGCTCCTCTCCGCTCTTCAACGCATCCAGTCCATCAAGCGTCACGACGGGAACAGCAACGATAAACTGCCGCCCAGTCACAAGCTGGCGTGTCGAGTGTGGGTGTGAGTGAGTGAGTGAGTGAGTGAGTGAGTGAGTGAGTGAGTGAGTGAGTGAGTGAGTGAGTGAGTGAGTGAGTGAGTGAGTGAGTGAGTGAGTGAGTGAGTGAGTGAGTGAGTGAGTGAGTGAGTGAGTGAG